AGACTTGGAAAATTCCCTTTTATGGAGCACCACAGCCTTCACAAAAGGGGGGACAAAGCACAGGCGTAATTCTAAAGGAAAGAAAACTCACTTGTTTGAAGAGCCGGCGAGCCTCATCAAAGATGAAAGAAGCATCTGGTTTGGGGCCATCTTCAATCCCTACAAGGCATTCTCGAAAGATGTCATGCCCTTCGTGGCTCGCTCCCACTTCAGAAGATTTCACATTCTGAGCATCTCGCATTTGCCCTTCGGAGAACTCGGGACCAGCCGGTGAGTCATCTACATTGATTACCCCAAGTGATCTACTCGGGGCATTCTCTTCTATTTGAAGGGGCACGGGACCGGTCCCCTCGGCCTCGCCCTCCAAATGGCCTCCTAAACGAGATACCTTTTTACCACTTGATGGCTCGGGGACTTTGCTTGAACTCCCCTCGGAGATCTCTTCGGCTCTAGAATGAACCACATAAACCACCACCGGTTCGACAGGCTTCGAAGCACCAGTCTTTCCTCTTTTACGAGCTACCAACAGGCAATCGTCATCCTCTTCCTCTTCCGGGTCCTGAAGACGTTGGGCCATTTCCGGAGATAAGGCCATCGTATCGGCCTTGGGCTTCCGAGCTGCACTTTTCTTGGGCTTCGAGGGATTTGCAGGCGATCCCCTTTTTCTTTTCTTTTCTTTAGAAAAGGCTTCGGGGTCTCTTCTTCACCAGCAGGGGACGGCCGCATAGCAAAGGCATCTCCGAGGCCTGCATAAAAACGAAGTAAGTATTCCACTAAAGAAGTGGAAGAAAACAAACAAGAAAACTCACCATGGTTTTTAGCCTCCCATCGGCCCTTGGCCAAATCTCGCCAGCAACGCTCCGAATACGAGGAAGTGGAAGCAAGTTTTCGGACCCAACCATCGAGGTTCGGGACCGCACCAGGAAACCAAGCGGTAGATGTGCCATCGGAAAGGGGTTAGATCAAGGGAGAATTCAGAGAAGTTGAAAGAGCTAATGAGACTTTGAGAACAATATGAGAATAAAGTTTGCAAGATTGTGAAGTTGATCTATTTATAGTGGTCATTTAAGCGTACTGAGGAAGCCAAAAAGCCGACCGTCAGTCGCCTCCAATTAATGACTTTAAGAACCGCACGAAAGCAACCTTTCAGTCACTTCAGCCGCTGACGTCACGAGATCGGCATTAGGATCAAAGCGTCGAAGATTAATTCGTTTCTTATCGACCTATTTTGAGTTCGAGCAAGTGCTCACTCGACTACTAAGCCCAAGGGCTACTCGAGTTTGAGAAAATTCTCATTCGGGGATTATCTACTAAGCCTAATGGCTAACTTTATTCGAGACCTTGCTCTCACTCAACTCGGACTCAAGAGTCCCGTTATTCTGAGCTCACATCAAATTGATTTAAGCTTAGCTCGAGGATTAACAAAACCTTAAGGGGTATTATATTGATCGATTAAAAACCCAAGGGTTTATTATGTTCCGAGTCCGGTATTCGGACTAATCACTAAAATTATACAATCAAAATTTTCACAAATAAAGACGGAATGGAATCCAACACGAGCCAAAAATGAGACAAAGAGATCCTTTTATATTTCCAAGAGATGGTTACAAAATATATTTACAACGTCCACGAAGGATCCTTACACAGGAACAAAGAAGCAAACTACAAAAGCCAAGAACCTAATCTACTTTTAAGGCAACATCCTCGAGAGCGGCATCTTCGGGAACTCCTTCCCGGGGACCCCATTTTAATCTTTGAAAATGTTTGTGTGCCTGAAGAAATTTAGGGCAGAGAACCCTCGATAATGTAACAATATTTCCAGCAGCGGGGATCGAGCATTCTGTTAAAATTTTGGGCCATAATCCGTTAAAAAATAGCGGCAAAAGAAAAAGATCAAAAGGGAAGACAAGAAGATGTAGCTTCACCTTCTATCACAAGAAAAAAGAAAAATGGTTGCAAGATGCACGAGCAACGATCCAAGAATGTTCATCCTTGGGACGTTGCACCCGTGTAGGATGCAAAAGTTAGTAGATGATAGTGCCACCTCACTCCATGGAAAGCAAAAGGAATGAAGTGCCACACCAGGTCTAAATTATGAGAGATAAGCGGCAGGGTGAAGTTCGTATATTTTCTGATGCGGGAAGGATTCTGCACCCTTCTCTCGTTGTTTGGAATTGAAGCTTTGAAAAAGAAAGCCTTGGCGTAACTGGTAAAGTTGCTGCCATGCGACCAGGAGATCGCAGGTTCGAACCATGGAAACAGATGATTAGAGAAAGAAATAAAGAAGGGAATGAATCAGAGTAAATGAAGATGAAATTCGTACAGTTCTTTGTTCAACAGAGTAGCCTCATATTTATATAAAGGCAACGACGGTTCGGCGGCGCTAGTGGATGACCAGTGCTGGCGCACATTTGATGTTTTGGGGAAGTGTGCTGACGTGACATTTCCGATCACTTCAAAGCCCCTACGTCATGGGCATGACATCATCATGACAGGCTCGGGAAAATCGAGGTTCAAATTGTTTCTTACCATCTTATTCTAAGAAACACGTGGACTATCTATATACGGTCAAAATCATATGCCTCCAATTTATAGGCTCGAGGGTCCGTCATAGGCCCGAGTTCGGGTGAGGTCGAGTTCGAGATCACACTACAACATAAGGTATTTATAGCTACAAAATCTCAGCTACAAATTTAAAAATCGTGGCTAATAGCTAACAATAGCTACAAAAATTAAAATTTCCTGGCTATTTACACATTAGTAAAATTTGCTAGCCACGAAAATTAAATTGGTAAAGCTAATTCCTTATTTTTGCTATAATTGCTAACAATCGTAGCAATAATTGCCTAAATAGCTACAAAGTTATTGCTACAATAAAATTGCGTAGCTAATTTAGATGTTTTAGCAACACATTAAAAGTTATTATAGCAATAGTAACCTTTTAGCCACAATAAAATATTTAAATTAAAATATTGTAGCTAAAGAAAAACATTTGCCTCATGTTACAAAAAATTGTGGCAAAAGGTAAATGATATAGCCATGGATTTATTGGTATGACAAAATATTGTAGCTAATTGTTAGTTTTTGCTATAAACTGAAATTTATTGTAGCAGAAATAACTTTTTAACCATAATAAATTATTTAAAATAAAATATTGTAGCTAGATAAATATTTTTGTTTCAAGTTCTAAAAAATGAGGGCAATAATTGGGTTAATAGCTATAATTATTTTTCATGACAGACTAATCTAGACACAAATTTATTGCTCTGATAAAATTTTGTAGCTAATCATCAGCTTTTGCCTCAAGTTGAAACTTGCTATAGTAATAATAACCTTAAAGGCCTATGAAATTATTCGAAACAAAATCTTGTAGCTAATGATTTTTGCTTCAAACACGAAAGAAAATGAAAATAGTTGGCTTAAAAAAATGAAAATGGTTGTCACGACAAAAGTGATGAATATTTTTGCTTGATTATGAAATCATGCCAAGAGTTGTCTAACACTATTAGGTAATAAAATATTAATGTCAAATGTAACCGTTGTATTTTTCTTATAAGATAGAAAAATAGTAATTGTATATGATTAATAGCCTGTTTGGACAAGCTGGAGAAATTAACTTATTTTGAGAAGTGCTTTTTTCAAAAGTGCTTTTGAAAGAGAGAAGCAGTTTGTGTTTGGCTAATCACTTTGAAAAGCACTTTTGACCAATAATTTGTGTTTGGCCAAGTTTTTCAGAAAGTGTTTTTAAGTATCAAATTATGAATAAGGACATGAATAGATTTACTTAATAGTTAATATTATAAGTAAATAAATAATCTCAAAATTTTGTTATTACAAGCAATAAATAAATCTTTTCATTTATTTAAATAAAATATGAAAATAAAATTAAAAAGTACTTAATTCTGTTAATATAAGTTAAATATGTTAAAAATCATTCAACAAACATAAAAGCATTCACGCCTAAATTCACTATATATTAGAAAGCTATCCTAAAAAAAAAAAAAGAAATACATATACATTAATATCCTAAGTATTAGGTTTTATTTTGGTATATACTACTATATTTTGTTAAGGGTATTTTTGGTAAGATGAAAAGTCAAAACTGCTTCTGTTTCTGTTTTTGGGAAGAAGCTACTTTTTTTTTACTTCTCAGAAAGTGTTTCTGCTTCTTCCCAAAACCACTATTTTTTCCCAAAAAAGCTTGGCCAAACACCTTAAGTTAGGAAAAAAGTGCTTTTACGAAAAAAGCACTTTGGCCTCTTGAGAAACTTGGCCAAACACCATAAGAAAGAAAATAGTGATTGTATATGAGATTAAATAATTGTTTAAAATGAAAAATTAATCTTCATTCTCAAATAATATATCATTTATTTACTTGCTTATATCAGCAAAACTTATCAATTGTCTTTTTAGACTTATCAAGCTCATATTTTATTTTATTGCAGTAGTTGTTAGTTATATATTTTGTTATGTAAAATTTGAATTATTATTAATAGTCGTGGATATTTATGTATGTCATATACTTTATTACTTTTAAATATATGTACTTATTTAATTCAAAAAAGTATTCATATTGAAGACTTTAATTGTTGTAGTGATATTTATGTATGGTCCTTAAAGATTTTTTATTGCTTAATCATATATATATATATATATAGTTTTGATAAATGACCAAAGGCTCCAATTATATACAAGAAACATATTTAACACTATAAGAAATAATAATAATAATAATAATAATAATAATAATAATAATAATAATAATAATAATCTTAATGAAAAATGACATTTTGTAGCTACATAATCACGTACTTACAATGAATTTATGATTTCATCACTAATTAAAAAATTTATATTGAAAGAATAAGTTCTGAAATGAAAAATAAAATTTATTGCTAAAAAGTAAAATTTATTGTTCTTGTATCTATGGTATTTGTATTAGGAAGTAAATAAAACTAAATATATAAGAAAAGGACGACTTAACCTAAACCTCTAAACCAAACCTAAACTTCTACCCCATTCCTCAGCCGCCACTCTTCTCTCCGTTTTATTACTCCTTTCTTCCACAATAGCGTTAATTTAAAGTTGCAAGAACAAAGAGGAGTAAGAGGGTAACCTCACTGCTTCTTATTTATAGACAAAAATTTTAACTTGTTAGTTCGTCTCTTTTACATGGTAGGGCTTTTGAATCTTCTTACACCTACTTGAGTTTGGGGTTTTAAGTTCAATTTACAAGTTATTTCAACGATTTGATAGATATTATGGCTTATTTATTTTATAAGTAGTGGGTGTGATTTTGAAGATTTGATAGGTTTTGTGCCTTAAACCTAATTGACTTGGGTTTGTGCTTCAATTGTTTGTTTTTTATTTGTAGGGTGCTCAAGAAAGCAATGCCTTTGAGAAATTTCAATCTCTTCTAATGCCAAATAGTAAGTTTTACTTCTTTTTCATCTCCTTAAGTTTTATGATATTTATTTAGATGCTTTTTCTTTTGTCTTCTGTGTTGGAGTTTTTTTTAGATTTTTTACACCTTGATTCATGGCTAAGTATTTTTTTATTCCATAATTTATTGAATTTGTCAATTACTAACTGTAAACGTATCTAAATCGGTATATATTTTGATAATTCGAATATAAGTTTCTCACAAGATCATGTTATTTTATTATTTCAGTATAGTGATTACGGAGAGTGCTTCATTATTCTTGGATGCATGAAGATCAAGCGCGACGAGGGTGGCGACATGAATCATCAAGCAAATACTTATGTTCATTTAATATGAAATTTTGTACTTTATTTTTTATCTCTATTACAATCAAGCCTCACATTTGCTAGTTATTTTCTTCAAGTTATAGTTATTGTAGAAGACTTCTCTACTGCATATGCTATTAATTCATTAGTACTGGATTTTGGAATTTATTTTATGAATTTTTTTAAATGCCAATTTGTGTAGAATGAGTTATTTCTCAAACTTAATATGTTATTAGTTTTAATATATTATGCACGGCCGCAGAATAATTGAAAAATTTTAGAAAAAAATCAAATAGCTAAGAAACAAGGGAATTAAATTATAATAGAATAATCTAACCACGACTCTTTTGTATGATTTTTAGCCATGAAAATTTTAGTCCCTAGATAAACAAAAATATTTTTGCCACGATTACATCTAAATTTTCATGGCAAATAAATTTAAACTTTTGCCACGCTATAATACTTTGTGACTACCGTATAAAGATAGCTACAGATTTATTTGTCGTGGCAAGCGTATAAAATCATTTGCTATAAATGTATTTGTTATGGCAAAAGTATTAAATTATTGTTACATATATAGCTACAATATAAAATTTCGTAGCAATAAGTATTAATCCTTAGCCACGGATCATGTAAAGTTTGTAGCTAACTTTTAGCTACGCTACATTTTGCTACGAATGCTACGGGAAAAATTATTGTAGCTAAAGTGTTTAGCCACGGAAATTTTCATAATTAGCTACGTTTTGTTTTGTAGCTATAACAGCATTATGTTGTAGTGCCAGTGGACCAGAATCGAGCTCAAAGACAGAGGGCAATGCCCGAAGATAGGAGTACGAGGAATACCGGGGCCAAGTATGCTCGACACCAAAATAGTACCGTTAAGAATTTATAACAGAATGAGCTAGATTCCTGCCACGTCCCCAAAATCATGGCGCAAATCCCGGAATAGGATTGTATGATTCCGTACTAGGCGGTTAGACAGCTGTATCACGAATATTCCTTACGGTAAATAGAAATATACCTTATTTAGGGATTCCCCTATTATATAAAGGAGACCCCAATCATTTGTAACATCACATAATCACTGAAAAAAGAATATACTCTCTACTTTTTGCCTACTGTTCATCAGCATTGTCCTTTAGCTCTACTACTCTTGTTTTACTTTTCTTACTTTATTGCTCTTAGCTCGTCTCGAAGTCACCATCTCGAGGTCACTACTGTCAAGTAACATTGGTTTGATTCACTTGTCTCTTTCACTTATACTTCATATTTCTTGATTATTAATTGGTATTGAACTAAATCACATATGTTTAAAACCACAAATCAAATTTAATTGTTACTCGTATTTTCGAGGTAAACACAATTCTGCAATTGGCGACAGCATACTACGAAGCAACCAGGGCAGATATAGTGTTAATATGTGTGAGTTCATCTGAATCCAGTAACACCGGCATATAAATTCAGTAAATATAATAGATTTTTGAATCCACTAAAACAATAGGCCGTGATAGAGTCGTGAACTCGAACCCATAAAGATCAAATTTTGGATCTGTCTCTGGAGGTCGCACATTTAGATTCTAATTAGTTATGTTAATCCTTCATAAAATAAGACGATGGGCATCATTAAGTAGATGAAACCAGAATGAACTCGTATCGAACTGATCCACTGACTCAATGCTCAAACTGTGATCAGACTGATGAGTTTCAGGATTGCTCTCCAAGATAACCGTGTTTTCCATGTCAATATTCATCTTTTGATTTTCCCCAAACGTAATAATGCTGCTGCTGCTGCAGGATGAAGAAACATCAGGTGATATCAAACTGTTGTTGCTGGATGTTCCTATCGTTAGATTATTAATAGCCGCGAATAATACGGGTCTTTCTTGAGCTTTTTTGGTGTTCTCCACCCTTTTCCGCCTTGCGTTAGACTTCAGTAGGGCATCATTTTTCATACCCATATGCTTCTTTAAATGTGTGTAGAAGAAGTTTTTAACGTCGTTGTCAGTTCTTCCTGGCAATTTTGCAGCAATAGCTGACCATCTATATTAACACAAGGAAATCCGCTAATTAGAAGTAGTACACCTAATTTTTGATAAGATAATTTGCTATCAAGTGTTTTAAATTAATAAATACTAAAAAATTATTAATACACGCAGTTAAAGTAAAGCTAGGATTTCTTACCTACTTCCAAGTTCCTGATACATATTGATGAGTGTTTCTCTTTCTTGCATGGTAAAGGGTCCTTTCTTAACATCAGGATGGAGATAATTCATCCATCTAAGTCTGCAACTTTTTCCCGTTCTTGAAAGCCCTGTAACGTCGTACAACCCAATTTCAGGAGACTAATTAAGCACAACAAATTAGTGAACTTAGACAAGAAATTGTTTACAAGTTTCTTAATGCATGTAGATAAAATTCGAAGAATGAATTATCGTAACATATGATATACTCCTTCTGCTTCAATTTATGTGAACCTATTTGAAAGGGCACAGAGTTTAAGAAAAGAGAAAAGGCTTTTGAGCTTATGGTGTAAAATGAAACACGTATATTTTGTGTGACTATAAATCATTGCATAAAGGTAAATTGTTTCCAAATAAGGAAATGGGTCATTTCTTTTGACACAGACTAAAAAGGAAATAGGTTCACGTAAATTGAAGCGGAGAGAATATATAGAAATGATCATATGAAATAATCATACAAATGCTTTTACTAGTGGGTGGAACCTGCAAATTTGGGCATGTGACTCCAATTCCAAATGCCATATCTCATGATATAAGATTTCAATTTTTGGTCTTCCTCTGGAGACCATGCTCCCTTCTTTATCTCCTCCATGTTTGTACTTTTCTGCTGCTGTTGTGGTACACTTGACATGCTTGCAGAGAATCTGTAGGACTGCTCCTGGATTTGAATTCACCTGCTTCAGTACTTGTGTTGTACTTTCAGCTTTCTATTGGGAAGTAATTGGACATTATATAGACATTTCCCACGTAGTGTGTTTGAATGTTTAGTCAATTTAAAGCGTTCTTTCCGAGAAAAGGAGTACTCTTTCAGCAACTACTTCATTGGTTTGTCTTTTGTGTTTTTTAAGGTATTTCTGCTAATTTTAATACTAATAATTCGTTGAAGGAGGAGTTGACTTGAGCTGTCAATAGGGAGAGATTAACAGTAGGAACTTAAAGAACAAGAACTAGATTTTGCTAATTTGGTGAGAATATTATTTTTTTTGCACGGATCAAACGATGTGCACTATTGAGATAATTAACTTATTTGCTGAAGTTGTATTAGTTGTATTTGCTGAGTTGTATTTGTATAGCTGAGTTGTAATTAGCTTAGTTGTATTTCCTAGTTGTATTTTCCTTTTTTATTTTCCACGTGTGCATATATATACACACATTGTAATTCTGAAAACTGAGAGAGACTTTTTTTAATATCATTTTCTCTTTTTGTTCTCCCAGATATTTTTCTCTCTCTCGAGAATGTTCCAAAACCGCCATTGAAGCTCTTGCATGAGTTTCATCTTAGGTCAAAATACAAATCTCGATATGGTATCAGAGCAAGGGTGATATCATCGGCGAAGATCTGTCGGAGTTCCTCTTCCTCAAAACCTATTTCGTTCAGTCATCTGCTAGGTCTCAATTTTCCGATTTCGAACTGTAGAACTTTGCGAAGTGAAGGCACTTTACACGATTAGACAATTTATACAACGATTCAGCTAAGAAACTAGCCAATTTCATCATCTAGTCCCTTTCCCATGGCTATCGATCAGACCGAAGAAGTCACGCCCAACACGAGCAGAAATGACCAACCTGTTATTGATGTAAGCAGTCCTCTGTACATTCATCCTTCCGATAGTCCCGGAGTAACTCTAGTGCCGGTTCCGTTTGACGGGATTGGATATAGGTCGTGGAGAAGAAATGTGTTGAGAGCCCTGTCTGTCAAAAACAAATTAGGGTTCGTAAATGGAGACTGTTCGAAACCTTCCCCTAATTCACCACAATTTCGTCACTGGGAAAGGTGTGACAACATGGTAACTTCCTGGATTCTCAATTCTCTGTCAAAGGAAATTTCTGATAGTGTTGAGTATGTTAGTGATTCAGTAGAATTATGGAGAGAATTGGAAGATCGATATGATCAAACGAACGGTGCAAAGCTGTATCAAATCCAAAAGGAGATCAATGATCTTGTTCAAGGGTCTTTGGACATTACTACCTACTACACGCGAATGAAAAGACTATGGGAAGAGTTGAGCAATCTCAATGCAAGGTCTCAGTGCACTTGTGCTTGTACGTGTGGCTCAAAGGACAGTATGCATAAGGCAGAGCAGGACAGGCAACTTATTCAGTTTTTGATGGGATTGAATGAAGTGTACACGACAATGAGAGGAAGCATTTTGATGATGAAGCCCTTACCATCATTGGCACAAGCCTTTTCTTTGTTGGTGCAAGAGGAAAAGCAAAGGGAGTTCAAACCAAGCAGTCATTTGAAGCTGGAGTCTACCTCACTTCATGTGAACACTGCACCTTCACAACATCAAAATCCTTTTGGAGCTCGGAATTTCAAGACACACTATACAGCTAACTCAGGCCAATCCAGGGGTCGACCATTCTGTGACTATTGCAAGAGACCTGGCCATACAAAAGACAAATATTACAAGTTACATGGATATCCCCAGGGCAATTCCTACAACAATCAAGTTTCAAATCGCACCAATGCTCAACAGTTTAATCAAGGGAATAACTCAGGTCAAGTTCAAGGCCACAGATTTAACAGAGCTAGAGGAACTGTAGCAAATGTACATGGAACCCCTACTGATCTACTGCAAAATGAGGAAGATGAGACAATCCCACACAGTGAGAATCAGAATGTCAGCTTGACAAAGGAGCAATATGGGCAGATAATGAACCTGCTGTAACATTTTCAGACAGGAGGATCTTCCAGCAATGCCAACATTACCAGTGGTTCTGCCAATTTTGCAGGTATTGTAGTCTGCACTTCTTCTATTGATTTTGACAAACCATCATGCAAGTGTTTTGAATCTAAGAATGACTTTTGGATCATAGACTCAGGAGCCTCTAACCATATGACCTTCAATAAAATTGCCCTTAGTAACATAAGCACACTACCATACCCTGTGTTGATAAGTCTACCAAGTGGATACAAGGTGAAAGTGCTTCAATTTGGGGATGTGATACTTAACTCTGAGATCATTCTACACAAAGTCCTCTATGTCCCTTCCTTTAAATATAACCTAATCTCTGTCAATTCCCTTGCAACTCATCTTAGATGCATTGTGTTATTCACTGAAACATTGTGTCTGTTGCAGGCCCCTTCAGTGAAGAGGCCTCAGGTGATTGGTAGTAGCAGAAAGGGATTGTACTATCTCTGCTCCAGGTGTCTAAAGGGTAAAAGTTCTGTTTCAAATGTTAGTTTTCCAAATTCTTGTTGCAATTGCTTTGTTCCTGCTAGTATGAGTACTGAAGTCTTTAGTAGTCCTCTTCATCCACTTTCCTTTCCAACAGATGTAAATACTTCCATACACAATAATAAGAGTGACTCTTTGAATGCTTTAGAGAAACATGATGCTGATACTTTGTGGCATAATAGGCTTGGCCATGTTCCCTTTGTCAAAATGAAGAAAATATCCTCAATACCAGTGAACTTCTCACCCAAACAACCCTTTATTTGCTCCATTTGTCCCATGGCTAGACAAGTCAGACTTCCCTTTCCACAAAGAACCAGCACCTCTGACCATATTTTTCAATTGATACATGTTGATATATGGGGCCCCTATCATGTTGCTACACACAACAATTACAAGTATTTCCTCACCTTGGTGGATGATTTTAGTAGGTCCACTTGGACTCATCTATTAAGCAACAAAAGCAATGCCCTACAAACACTTAAATCTTTCATAAATATGATCGAAAACCAATTCAATACTACTGTGAAAACTATCAGATCTGATAATGATCTGGAATTCACCAGTCATGAAGCCACTTCTTTCTATCAAAATAAGGGAATCATTCACCAGAAAACTTGCCCTTACACTCCACAACAAAATGGGGTAGTAGAGAGGAAACACAAATATCTCCTTGAGACTGCTAGGGCCCTTATGTTTCAATCTAAACTGCCAACCAATTATTGGGGAGAATGTGTTTTGACAGCCACTTACTTAATTAACAGATTACCTACTACCTACCTGAATAACAAATGTCCCTTTGAAATTTTATACCAAAAAAAACCCAATTACTCTCATTTGAGGAGTTTTGGATGTCTCTGTTATCCTAATGTACCCAAGGTACATAGAGACAAGCTTGAACCCAGATCCACACCTCATATTTTTGTAGGCTATCCTTTTGGGACAAAGGGTTACAAAGTGCTAAGCCTAGCCACTAAGAAGATTCATGTCTCTAGAGATGTAGTATTCTATGAAAACATTTTTCCCTTCTCTTTAAAGTCTAAGAATAGTCTCAAGTCAGTCAACATTCCTGATTATTCTCAAAGCAGCATTCCACACTGTAATGCCCAAAATCCCACCAGTGTCACATCTCCAGTTGTACCTCAATCCCCTGTATCCTCAGCTGATAATGATACTACAATGCACACATCAAATACTCAACCTTTCAATCATTCTCCTGTAATTTCACATCAAACACTTGACCCTAACTCACCAACATCTACTCAATCAAATACTTCACCCCCTTTGAGAAGAACCATTAGAACTCACAGAACACCTACATACCTTCAGGATTATGTCTACAGCCTGCCTAATATATCAAATTCTAATGTTCCTCAGGAATCACCTTCCTTAAGTGCACTTTTCTCAAATCATAGCCATGTTACACCTGATGTTCTATGTCCTGAAAGTCAGCACTTAGTGACAAATGTTTGTCATGATAGTGAGCCATCATCATATGGAGAGGCAGTTCTCAGCCCTGCATGGCAAGCAGCCATGACTCAGGAATTTGAGGCTCTCTATACAAATAACACTTGGGACTTAGTCCCTTTGCCAGCTGGAAAGCAGGCAATAGGCTGCAAGTGGGTCTATAAAATCAAACATAAAGCAGATGGCAGCATAGAAAGGTTCAAGGCTAGATTAGTGGTAAAAGGGTATACCCAACAAGCAGGGATTGACTACACAGAGACCTTCTCCCCTGTTGTCAAAATGACAACAGTTAGAGTTTTGTTCACTGTTGTTGTAAAGAAGAGCTGGGACATATTCCAACTAGATGTAAACAATGCATTCCTTCATGGTGATCTATATGAAGAAGTGTACATGGAAGTACCACCAGGCCTTCTAATTGATCAAACTGGTCCACAAAAGGTAGTTTGCAAACTTAATAAATCATTGTATGGGCTAAAGCAAGCCAGCAGACAATGGTATGCTAAGTTGACTGAAGCCCTATCCTCATTGGGGTATAGACATTCTGAGAATGATTACTCACTCTTCTCCAAGAAGACTTCTTCTCACACCATATTTGTAGCTGTCTATGTTGATGATGTTATCATCACTGGGGATGATTCACTTGAGATAGCCAATTTAAAATCATTCCTTGATAAGCAATTCAGAATTAAGGATCTTGGGAAACTCCATTACTTCTTGGGCCTAGAAGTTCTCTACAAGTCAGATGGAATCATCATGTCTCAAAGGAAGTTCACCCTAGATTTGCTAAGAGAATATGACTGTTTTGGCTACAGCAGTCTGTCTTCTCCCCTTGATCCTGCTGTGAAGTTGAAGGGTAATGAAGGCACTCTCCTTCCAGATCCTACATATTACAGAAAGTTAGTGGGAAAACTGAACTTCCTCACCAACACACGACTTGACATAGCCTATAGTATGTAGCTTCTGAGTCAGTTCATGCAAGCACCCAGAGATACACATCTGAAAGCTGCATTTCACCTCCTCAGGTATCTCAAGAGTGATGCCACTCTTGGTATATTCTTTTCCAACAACACTGACTGCTCCATTAGTGCCTACTGTGACTCTGACTGGGCTTCATGCCCTGATTCTAGAAAGTCTGTTACTGGGTACATAGTTTTGGTGGGAGATAACCCCATTAGTTGGAAGTCAAAGAAGCAAGAAACTGTTTCCTTATCTTCAGCTGAGGCAGAGTACAGGTCCCTAAGGAAGGTAGTAGGAGAACTGGTATGGTTAAACAGATTATTTGAGGAGTTCACTGTTTCACAGTCCAGCCCCATTGCTGTGTTCTGTGACAGTCTATCTGCTATTCACATTGCTCACAATCCAGTTTTCCATGAAAGGACAAAACATATCGAGGTTGATTGCCATTTTGTACGGAATAAACTTCAGGAAGGCTTGATTTCTCTCCACCATGTAGCCACCACTAACCAGCTAGCTGATATACTCACCTAAGGTACTTACTGGAGTCAAACATCATGCAGTACTTGGCAAGTTGGCTGTGAGATCCTCCCATCCAACTTGAGGGGGGGGGGTGTATTGAGATAATTAACTTATTTGCTGAAGTTGTATTAGTTGTATTTGCTGAGTTGTATTTGTATAGCTGAGTTGTAATTAGCTTAGTTGTATTTTCCTTTCTTATTTTCCATGTGTGCATATATATACCCACCTTGTAATTCTGAAAACTGAGAGAGTCTTTTTTTAATATCATTTTCTCTTTTTGTTCTCCCAAATATTTTTCTCTTTCTCTCGAATGTTCCAAAACCGCCATTGAAGCTCTTGCATGAGTTTCATCTTAGGTCAAAATACAAATCTCGATATGCACGTTTTACAGTTTAGAAAATTAATCAAATAAGAATAGTATCTAATAAAACAAATCCACTTGCCTATGAATTACCCGAGGCTTACTTCATACCTCTCAAGGATTATATAAACTAATTTTCTTGAGAATTCTTTTAATTGTATATACCTAGATAACCTCTTTTGATATATTCCATTTACTTGTCCTAGGATAGAGCAAAAATAGAAAATGAAGTATGATAATGGTTTTTCTTTAATATAGGAATTATATTAATTAAGAACAATAAAATATTCCACAGAAGGGGAAAGAAATTAAAGAAACAAATATCAAAATGAAAATACGAATTATTCCGACCAGGAACTAGAAAGAAGATGAGATGGTGAGAGTGACAAGAGCTTATGTATGTTTTCTGATGTAAGCCCTGAAAATATATCAGAGAAATATCTTACTAGTATAATGGATTAAAAAGGGAGGGGTACTGAACAGTGGCGGTGCCATATTCAAGCGACGGATATCAATCTGACACCCCTTTGCCGGAAAATTACATTGTATTACTCAATAATTTTTGAAATTTTTATCTCTTGTAGCAAAGGTTGATACCTTAGTTATTTTAAATAGATACCCTTTTAAAAAATTATATTCTATAGCTACCTTTTGATTTTTATAGCCAAATATCTATTTATAGTTACCTCCCTACCCTTAAGCCATAAAATAGGCTTTGTATTATTTTTCTCTCTCATTCTTTCAGATTTTTCTCCACTCTCTCTCAACGCTAATCTTTCTCCATGAATTATGAATTCACAAGGAAAAGGCTTTTCTTTGATTTTTCAAGGTTAAAAATCAAACAAAAAGGGAGATTTTCTTGAATTGTGAAAAACACAGAGGAAGTGAAAGTGAAGTGAGGCGGTGTGTGAAGAGTTATCATAGGATTATAACTGAAGAGAGAGAAAAAGGAAGAGGTGGCATTCAACCATAGATAGATACTATGTATATGTTGTATGATTTGTACGTCACATACACACAAAACCCAATTGAAACAAACAGACCAACAACTAGAAAAGGTTGGCAGATATTTGGTAAGGGGTTATTGCGAATCGAATCAAAGCTAAGGGCTCACAAAAGCTATGATGGTACTGCCAGATGTGTTAGAAGCAATGTACAGGATGTGTGGGAACAGTGAGATTCAGGGTTTTGCTCGACGGCGGATTCGCCAAAAATTAGGGTTTGTTCTTGAACAAAGACACGGATTTTGGGGCTGAGAAACTTGATTTTCTGTTAATATATTTTAATGTATTTTCAACGTATCACGCTGTATTTTCATGTATTTTATTGTATTCATTGTCTTTTTTTTCATTGTAATTCAATGTATCTCATTGTATTCCATGTATTTCATTGTATTCACTGTCTTTTTTTCTCATTGTATTTCAATGTATCCCGCTGTATTCTATGTATTTCATTGTATTCACTGTCTCGCTATATGCCATGAATGTATTCATATGTTTTTTTAATTAATATAATTTATGTATTCAGATGTATTATATAATTTCTCTTAAGATTGCTATGTTTTTGAGTATTTTTCGGTTGAGAATCTTTTTTATAACTGAAAATACAAAATTTGTGTGTTATAATTGAGTTTGTTGAGATATATTAGGTAGGGGTGTACAAACCGAACCGAAACGCACCAAACCAAAAAGTCAAACCAAACCGATTAAAAACCCCGACTCGATTTGGTTTGATTTGGTTTGGTATTGAATAAAAAAATCCGAACCAACCCGACATATAAATATATATTTTTTATATATATTATTTAAGATTTTATATAAAAATTTCTTTAAAAAATGTCTAGAAATATTTGGGATTCTCTTGCGAGATATAAATTTTAATAGAATATGAAGTGCTCCATATTTATTGACCTTAAATAATGGGTTGTATGATCAGTTTCTTATCAAGTGTTACTGAAATACGTCTATCTCTTTGTTCTTACATATTCATATCATATGTTAAGATGTATTAAATTCTTATATCTTTTTCGAATGTGAAGTGGTTATTAATATTTAGGTATCATATTGATTTTTATGTTTAATTACTAAATTTGGATAACCTAAAAGTGTATATCAACGAAAAAATATTGTCAGACAACTAAAAAAATAATTATTATGTGTTAACTAATGGAATTCCCGCATAAGAATATTTTAATTGATAATATGTTTGTCAACTTTTTATATTTTTACTAAATAGATGTATACGTATCAAATATTTAACAAAGTAAGATTGAAATAATATGTAAGTAACAAAAAACCCGAAAACCCGAAAAACCCGACAAAACCGAACCAATCCAAACCGATATAGTTGGTTTGGTTTGGTTTTGATAAAAACCGAACCAACCCGGTCCATGTACACCCCTAATATTAGGAGTCTATTATGTTAATTGATTCACTTTCCGTTTTAAAAACAGTGTAATCCCCTATTTCACGCTGTGAATACAGTCGAATACAATAATCTGTCCAGCTATAATCCCATGTTTCACTCCATGAATACAGTCGAATACACTCGAATACAACAACTGATTAGCTGGACTTCCCTGATTCACGCCTATTTTTGCTACTGTATTCATGAATACAATAGCTTAAATACATCAAATACATCTTATAACCACAGAAAAGGTATCTATAATCCGTAATATAGCAAATGGTATCTATAGATGGCTAATTACTACTAAAAGAAAGTGCTTTATGAAAATTTCTCATAATTTTTTCTGTTTTATGTATATTTACTATACGTTGACTCCCCTAAACTTTTCAATGTATCTATCTTTTTTTTTATATCTTGACACCCCTTTGTAAAAATTCTAGCTCCGCCACATATAGTGAAGGTGCTTGGTCCAAGAAAGTCAATTCGAACATGTCGGGTTTCCTCCAACTCCAACAGATTCCATAATAATGTAAATTATACCCTTATTGTATAACTAAAACAAACAGAATTTTCGAATGTGTAATTCTCCGATTAAGCCAAATATCAACAGCATTTAGAACCATGTATGTCTATATATTTGAGAAGCTCCTGAATAAACTAGTTTACGTTTACTGTTTTTGATTGAGCACAAGTTGTCTAACATTATGAAAGTTTTCTATAAAAATGAGGAAGCACAACCGCGTTTTTGAATTGTTAACTCAAAAGTTCTCTTGTCTCTATATACCTATAATACAACCCATAGGCATAATACCATTGAAATGTGTTCTGGTTCTACGATGTATTAGCTCGTGTCGTGTGACCAAGGAAAAGAGAAATGTAGTTTTTTATTTTTTAAAATAAAAAAAAAAGACGCCCTCGTGATGTTTGTCGCTATTCTATTTATATTAAGAAAATTGGCCCTTTCTTTAAACAATGATGATTTTTCCTTTATTCAAATTATTGGGATTATTTATTCATTTAGTAATAGGATTATTTTGCACGGTTTTGTCAGCAAGCAGACATCACTCTACTCCTTCTGCTGAGGTGGGGCGGCTATGTGTGGCTTCTAATTGTTAGTACTAGAAAGGTCTATGAAAAAGTAAAAACTAGAAACAAATAAAGAGAAGAATCTTCATGTAAAAATTACTCCCTATTATGAAAATAATTAATTGTGGATGTCTATTTATTACTCCGCTATAGATAATCTTCCTGAAGAAGATTATCCGTTTGGTACTCTATTGAAGTTTATCTACAAGCAGTTGATGCAGACAAGTTTCAAGCAACTCAATAAAATGATTTGCAACAGCTTCTTATTAAACAGGCAGGTTGCAAGCAGCTCATGCAAGCAAACAGCTTACAAGAAGCTCAAGAAAAGCCTCGCAGCTGCTTCCTGAAGAGCCTCGCAACTGCTTCCTTTCTTCTATAAATAGAGGAGTTTTCGGCTCATCATGTATATCAGTTTGAAGTTGAATAAAAATATCAATCTCCCTCTATACTTGTCTTCAGTTTTTTTACATTGAAAGTTTTATTTTATAATACATTATCAGCACGAGACTCTACCATGAATACTTATTTTTAAAGGGAAAGAAAAGGATCTAAATATCTGGGGAAATAAAAAAAATCCTACTTATCCTCGTTATAAGACATCGGTTCCCACGGTAAGTAGTACTTAAGTTATTGCATATACGAAATTTCCATAATTTTTACTGTGGCTAGAAGGAGTGGTATTCCTTTGGTATCAATGTTTCCTTTTCACATTAGAAAAGTAAGATGATTTCATGATTGGCTGAAACTACGCAAAGGAGTCGTGAATTCTCAATTTTCTTTTGCACTTTCAACTATTTGCTAATATTAATTATTTGTTTAGTTTGAGTAAACAAAAGTTTATAACTACTAATCAGATTATATTGCATCCTTAATAGTTTACACTAAGGTTAGTATTTCCTTTCTTCATTTTGTCTTTTGCTACTAGCATGATTGACTTCATTGGGTTTATTTGATCTGAGGAATCTAATTGGTTCATTTGACAATTTATGCCTCAAATTTGTTCTTGAAGAACAAAATTGCAAAGAGACATCAAATTTGCTCCTGTAGAGCATCGCTTGAACTCCAGTAGAATTCATAACAAACGTACGATCACCAGAAGTGGTTGAATATTTCATATCTCGTTATAATTAAATTTTGTTAACCACTAGAAGTGGTA